TGTTGTTGCTGTTGTTGTTGTCCTTGTTGGTGGAGGTGGTGGCGGTGGTGGTGGCGGTGGTGATGGCGATGATGGTGGCGATGATGATGATGATGATGATGATGATGATGGTGATGGTGATGGTGGTGGTGATGGTGATGGTGATGGTGATGGCGACGACGACGACCGACGACGACGACCGACGACGATGACCGACGACGACGACCGACGATTTTGATGATTTTGATGATTTTGATGATTTTGATGAAGGTGATGATGATGATGATGAGGAGGAGGAGGAGGAAGAGGAAGAGGAAGAGGAAGAGGAGGAGGAGGAGGAGGAGGAGGAGGAGGAGGAGGAGGAGGAGGAGGAGGAAGGCGAAGGTAGTGGTGGTGTTGGAGGCTGTGGTGGCGATGTTGAATTGGATTACACATTAATTTTACATACATGAGTGCTAGTACTAATTCTTCCTCAGGTGATATTGGCTCCCGCCAGTTAAAATCCACCAGTTGTAAATGTTGCAAAACGAGTGATTTCAACTCTTTATAGGTTTGATAGGGCATGCGCAAATAGTTGAAGAACAAAGTTTCATTCTTGCGCTCTATCACGATTTGAATTCATCTATTGATGGTTTGGATACGGACTCACTTGCTTCGCTTTCTTTTTCAAATCTTTAACAACACGATTGTCAACAATAGAAAGATAGCAATTGTATAGAGCAAATCCCCGCTCAACAGCAAGCTCTGTGCGCTTAACAATCTATACTATTACCCCAGTAGACCTGAGAGCATTCTGAAACAACCTCAACTTCCTGAGTAAGCATACAGTACAGTGCTAGCGGCCTTTTATAGGTGCTAAAACACTAAGATACTGGCAAAATCTTTCGCTGTCTATGGCCGGGTACCCATTCCCACCTGGGTGAAGTGAGGAAAATTCGTGTGAAGTGCCTTTCCCAAGGACACAACGTCGGGCCCGCGGCTCGAACCCCGGAACCCGCAACCTCATAATTACAAGTCCTGTACCCTGACCACTAGACCACCGACGCCACATCAAAGGAATCCATTTTCCCAGCCTGGCTGGGCGTGAAGGGATGACAGAACCTAGATTCTATGTGATCCGATAAAGTGAGGCGTGTAGTGTTGCATTCGTGTGGAAAAATGTGACACGTGAAAGGTCACGTTCTATGTGAGGCGGGCCTGGAACAAACTACACCAGAGCGCCCACCAATCACCCACAAATACTAAACCAAGTGCATCGCCTGGGGCTAAGGCTGATTTGTTTGACAGAGTAATCAAAGTGAGACAATGAACCAGATAGAGATGACACACACGAATAGATTCTACTCATTTGGGGATCTAAAAACTTTCACTCGGCGGCATTACCGAGTTGTCTATGAAAACAAATCCTGAATTCATTTTGTATGTTCAACCGTCAAAACAATCGGGAAAGTATCTCATTCAACATGTATTTCCACTGGATCTAGCAGCACTAAATTCAACTTAGGCTAGGCGTCCATAGCCCCCGCTCCTCACCGCTCCGCTCCTGATAATGAAAGGTCTAAACAACAAACGTGCGTGCAGGTTCTCTTTATCCACACCATCCTCTCCGCTTTTATTTTGTCACGCGATTTTAAATGGCGCGGACACAACACAAAAATCTTTCTTTGGTGGTAGTACAAAAGGACATCTCTTCAGTTATTGTCGTTACTGGATGTATCTCATATGTCATGACTGCACGAAACTAGGAACATTCAGACTATTTGTTTTAGAATGGTTTAACGGCGCCCACAACTGCATACGGTCATATGAGCACCAAGGGGCGGGTAACAGAGACGTCCATACGGGGAATCAGGCTTAGTGCGCAGACACAGTGGCCGCAGCTGCAGCGATGCATTTTAAAGTTACTCGCCGCGTCTGTTCCGACTTCTTTTCTAGCAAACAGTGTGGCTGCGTCTTTTGGTTCAGTCGGTTCATTCGGCCACGAGTCAGTCAATGAGGAGGGCTAAAGAGTTTCTTCAATTGTTGATGCTTTCATGGCTCCATAACAGGAGACGATCCCGCCGTATATATTGGGTACACAGAATAAATAAAAAGAGAGACACTATTGGTGAATACCATCACCTGATGGCAGAAATCCTTTCAGACGAAGAAAAATGCCTGAAATATATCCGGATGAGACCCTCCACATTTCAGCTCTTGTTTGGACAAAATTGGACCCTACATAGAGAAGCGAACTACCAATTTCCGGAAACCCCTGTCAGCAAAAGAGCGTTTGAATTTGGAAAAAGACTGCTGGCTGACAAGCTGGATTTACCACAGGATACAGACAGTGATACAACCCTCCCATTTGCATTCGTAGCAGATGATGCATTTCCTTTGAGAGGAAATTTGATGAAACCATTTCCAAACAGACAATTAACTCATGAGAAAGAACTTTTCAATTATCGCATATCACGTGCGAGGAATTCAGTTGAATGCTGCCAAATGGATGAACAGCCAGAGTCGGCAACAGATGCAGTCAAGGCCATCACTGTGCTGCACAATTTAATTATCATGCAAGAACCTGGAAGATCAGTGCTACGTCACATTGAGGATGACGTGGTTGAGCCACGAGCAGGCCTACCAACGTTCGACAGACTAGAAGTTATAAGGAGCAGAGCTACCAAAAGTGGAATGGAAGTGAGAAATGCTTTCATGGGATATTTCTCGTCACCACAGGGTGCATTGCCATGGCAAAACAGCAAATACTATAACGTCTGATCAGTCCACATTCTTGTTTAAAAAGGGTTATCATCGTATCTCTTTTAATAAGCTAAAGTAGGCCTATAGTTTGAAACAAGTATGCATGTTGTACAGTGTACATGCGTTCAGACAAACAGACGGACAGACAGACAAAGTTCTTACCATTGCATCAAACTTTTGGCTTCTTTCTTCCATTCGGCCGAATCATGGCCCTGTTGCGGTAGTTTTGATCTGCTTTGTCATAAAGATATCTTTTTTCAACTGCGTGTATTAATGCCTCCAACTCCATTGTAGTCAAAATGCAACAATTCACTATGACTACAGACTACACGCGCTACACAATGACGTCTCAACAGTTTAGCCGCGCAGCAGACGCTCGAAATTTTATTTCAGCAGCAAGTGCACACGCTGAACTTTTTCTGCTCCGCCCAGCGCTGCGTATGCTCCGCGCCCACAGCAGCGCCGTGCATTCAATCCATTGTTAATAAAAATTTGGCGATGCAACTTTTTCGGAGAAAGACGTCGCAATCGAAAAAGAAGCGTCGGAGAAGCGTGCACTGTGTGTGGGGCCTTGCTTTGCTTACCCCTCTATAGCCTCAACAGCACATAGACTATCAAGGCACCCCGGAAGCAGTTCACAAGAGAGTGACAAACATACAAAAGGGAGGGTGGGGGGGGGGGGGGGATTTAGACTCTTACCCCGATTGGTCGCTTTTAAGGACAAGCGGGCTAACTCAAGATTTCGGGGGTTTCCAGAAATCTTGACATACACCAAAAGTTGGCATTGCCCTACCTATAGGAGAAGTTTGGTTTCATTGGTGTGAATATAATTATATAATATTCATATCTATACACACATACATCTATACATCTCTCTATCTCTCTAATCCTCTCTCTATCTCTCTAATCCTCTCTCTATCTCTATCTTATCACTATCTATCTAACTAACCTCTCTAATCTATCTCTCTAATCTCTCTATCTATCTATATATATATATATATATATATATATATATATATATATATATATATATATATATCTATATATCTATATATCTATATATCTATATATCTATATATATATATATATATATATACGTGTGCGCGTGTGTGCGTAGATAAAAAAAATCTTGTATTTAAAAAAAACTGAACAAGGGGCAAAAACTTTTACCTTCGATTTTCTCGAAACAGCATCAGCTTTTTTGGGGATAGCCCATTGTACTTTTAAAAAAGCGAACAATTATTCTCATTTGAGGAAAAATGCTTGGACTATCTACAGATGAAGAAAGCAACATTGATTTTCTTCTGACCAGAGAAAGTTGTGAAAGACCCGCAGGCAGATACAGAGAGACACGCATGCAGACAAGACGAGCACCACCACCCCCCCCCCCCCCCCATCTCTCTCGAGATGGTGGAAGAGAGAGCGAGAGAGAGAGAGAGAGAGAGAGAGAGAGAGAGAGAGAGAGCGAGAGAGAGCGAGATAGAGCGAGAGAGAGCGAGAGAGAGCGAGAGAGAGCGAGAGAGAGAGAGAGCGAGAGAGAGCGAAGACAAGAGCTAGAAAGAGAGAGAGAGAGAAGCTCGAGAAGACGGAGAGAGACGGGCAGAGACAAAGAAACAGAACGAGACAGAAGACAGGACAGATACAGACACAGACATAATACTTTTAGCTTTAGATAAGTGTAATTACAAAACATTTCGAACACCGATCACATAGCAGAAACATTCATTGGTGTTGGCAGTCATGAACCATTTAACAGAAGAGCCCCTTGGCTATAATATATCAACTTCATGCTCGTTCCTAGTTGGTGGAATAACGGGGTTTGAATGAATCTCAATATCCATCTAATTTACTTCTCTTACAGTCATTGGATGTGTATATGGGGTCTAGTGTGCCGTCAATGGCCATACTGTGCGTGCACAGGCACAGTCTGCAGTCGTATCCGTTTTATTATCAACTCTTTCTTTCCATCCAATTCCATTCTTCCTGAAAGATTGTTCATGTTATTCAGTTACATAGTGAAGTGAAATTACAAACGGGCTGCTTTTTACTAGTTTAGTGAAGAGGCAAGCATGTCGACGCTATCGGTCGGTCCTTAAGGGGAAAGATTTGATTTTGTAGACATTCTGCGTTTTACGACACTAACAGTTCTGTCATGCAAGAACACCAGATGTACTGATATACATGCTGAACTATTAAAATTTACTTGAAGGACAGTCGGAAAAGACCAAGACAATGAATAGAAAGTAAGATCATGCATTTTCTTTGAACAAACACAAAACTTTTCAAGGTTTTCTGCAAAGTTTTATTTTCAAAATGAAACTCGTGGACATGCGGTTGGTTATACCCAATTAAGAGAAAAGGGCTTTGTCATGCTACTCATTTTTTCAATGAGTGGATATTTTCCTTCCCCGCAGAAGGTGCCGGTAAAGTCATCAAAGTCGAAATTCCAAACCATTGCACCAGCAAATCCTCCTCCGTTGATGTAGTCCATCTGAAGAAAAACGTTTTTGGAAGAGTTGGTTTCATATAGTAGTATAAGGTTTTACGGCGCTCGCAACTGCTAAGGTCATATGAGCGCGCGAAACACAAGTTGTTCACCTCTG